ATGGGGATAGAGTAGCAGGCATGAGAGTATGCTTTTTATGTAAAAAATATGTCCATGAGCACTGTGTTAGGTTAACAAAAGAAGATACTGATGAATTTGTATGCACTTTCTAGTTCATTTTATTATCCTTAAATCTTATTTGTTAAATAAGACTTTATCCTTTATTGTACTGGATGTCGCCCTAAGAATATTTTTCAAATAAATTCTCCATGAAAGCCTAATATAGGTTTTCATTTCAGTTTATTCGGTAGTTATTTAAAAAAATATATTCATACAGTAAATATGGCACATACATGGGCATACTTATCTACCACGACGGAAATATGGCCAATATTCAATTTTGTTGTTGAACATATTATAAAGAAAGAATATGAAGCCTTAAGGTGGCCATATTCGGCCTAGGTACCTTGGTACGAGTATGTATATTCTTCTTTTGGAGAGTTCTACCCGAAATTGACGGGGTTTGACATTTTTTAATGAATCCACCCTATTTAGAAAAATCTATGATTGTGTCCAACTGCCGTGTTAGAATTTTCAACTTTGGGTTTAACATTAAATTATGGTATCTATGCATCAATTTTCATCATTTCAAATTTTATTTTTCCAACTTATCCCGATCAGAAAATGAGTAGGAAGGGCTGATTGAAGAGCACTGTATATAGCTTTTTATCGAATTGTTTGACAACTGTAGAGATACGTGTAATTCTTTAGTAAAAACTCTCACAGGCTACTGTAGAGTAGACACACACGTAAATCCCGCATAGGGAAAGGATGAAACAGTTATTCTACATGCTATAGAAGTGAGTTGAGCTGAGATATTCGGTTAAACAGAATATGATAGAAAAAATGTCTATGAATCAGACCCGTTCAAACGTCTGGTACGTTGGACGCCAAGTTTTAGTGTCGGTTTTCGGAGTCACTCAGAAGGGCCAAAAATGGTAGGTTCACCTCTCTATCACTACTAATGCTACATTCTGTCATGTAAAGGTTGGTTTTAGATCAGTATCGTCTTCGACTGAGTAACGTTGTGTAGCAAACAAACGTGTATCTAGTCTAATAGAATACGAGGTACCCTGAAAGCTTTTCAGAAACAGCTTTGAATTAATAAAGTTGATCTTCGGTAAAATGACAATATTTGATTTATACGTCTTCCTGCCCTACCGGTATTACCGTCCACTGTGGTTTTATTGACCAGATAAGGACGTGTGTGCGAATTATTGCCATGTAAACCACAAGATAAGATTCAGATATCACATTGAACAAAGCTAATGTACGCTAAAGCATCAGCGGAAAGAATCAGCAGCTTGGAGACACTCTCCGTAAACAAATCTGAAACCGATAACTTCGTTTCTATAAGAATCTGCCAATATTAGATTCAACTTCACACGCCTACTGGCGATAAAGTATTGTAATCGCGAAAAATATCGAAAACCGGATAATGTTTTTTAGATGTTATATTATATAATGTACATCAAAAAAAATCATGTAATTCATTTCCGTCGGTCTGTCTGTCGTTTTATCTGTCCTCTAATCCTTAACGTCCATAACTTGGAAAATTCTGCTCGGATTTGGATGAATTTTTCACATAATGTTGCCAAAGACGAGAAAGTTTCGCTCAAACTTTGTTTTTTGATGTTTCAAAGGCACTTGATCATATTCAGAAAATTTTCTGAAGGGGTTATAAATTGCAGGCTAGGGGTGGTTGAGGGGATAGATCATTTTTTTGATCTTATTATATTTATACGCTCCCAACCTCTGTAATTTTAGGCAGCTAAATATAGAATGATACAGAAGGAGACTTGGGACCTGGCATTACTACCGCTGTAGCAGTATGCTGCGTAATGCGATTATGAATGGGGAGAGGCGACATTGCCAGAGAGACGGTAGTATCTACTGGTAGGGCAGGAAAAGAATGTTTGTGGACTAATAGTATTGGGCTATTTAACTGACTTGATCCACCTAATTTCTTTATTTGCCATGTTCGTAACCAAATTTTGTAATGAACTTCATTTATGAATTGATAATGGCACTGCGTGGATGATGCGCAGTCAACTTACTTGACTCCATTTTCTCAAATCCAATTTGTTAATATATAGTAGTACACCGAGTGGCGCCTGAATTGGATGTTATACCTTTTCAGGTTAGATGCAGAACCGGGCTGGCCCATTCAGACTTTTTTAACGTGACATGTGGGTTTGATGTACGTCTTACCAGAAAAACTTCCTTATTGTTGAATAACGTATACGTTCTGTTATACCCGTTTTACATCGACAATAAATCCACGGAATCCTTCCTGAATTCAGTTCATGGCCAAATTTTAAAAGTAAAAAACAGAAATTTGATCTCAAGTAAATCTATAGAGTTCTTCGAGGAGTTCCTCAAACGATTAGAATCTCTAATTTTTGCCATGATGAAGGTAAAGGTCCATGGTGCTAACCTCAATTTTTTTCCATTATATTGAACAACTTTTCAATTGAAGGATAGAAGTTTGATAAATCTACAGAATTGAACCGTATGGTTTATATTCATAATATTCACTTCAAAATCAAAACCACAATACATATAAAAACTCAAAATGTTTCTTGCAAGAATTTGTTGTGTGGTTGGCAGCACTGTGTACTGTCAGATAAATCGATGAATTTGAGAGACCTTGAAGAAATCCGTCCGAATAAATTTGTGAAGAAATTGTTGATGTAAAACAGGTATAAAGCCCAACTTCAAGAACACCCTCTATCATTTCACGGTCCTGGGTGATTACCCTAGTAGTCACAGTAGAAGTAGTAGGGAGGTAAAGCCCGGCAACTAGACCACCTTTGACCATTTTTACCGACCCCGTACTGCACATCTAGTGGTAACTGATTTTTTTTAAAATAGAATGTTGATTTTGCGCCGATCTGGTGCGTGATATAGAAAACACACAACACTATACCCATGGCTCAAAATTAATTTCTGAGGAAGAGATTGGCTCGACCAATTAATAGCTCGACGCGTTAACCTCTCGACCACCCAGCCAGTGATTACTCTGTAATCAGTGAACCTTAAAGAACACATCCGTAACATCACAGGTCTACCACAACAAGTCATGTATAATAAAATCCCTGGAACAGGGTACGTGGCATATATCGCTGAGGGAGAACGAGAATATTCATCGCTTTCAGAGTGGGTTCATTGTTTCGCGAGTGGCTAATTCACGACGGAAGGGCCCGCGTTCCCCGAATTCCACCTACCCACCGAATTATTTCATTCGCTTCGCGTTCCGTGTAATTCCGGGCGACGTGTAGGGTTGTTAGTGCAGTACTCAGGAAGAATATTTCATTGAATCATTACAGGCTGGGACTTGTCGTGCTAGTTGTAGATATGTATTACCAAGAATAAAATTAATCCATCAGGAATGTTAATTTGTTGTTTCAATAATATTATATTTCAAATGTAAAAATACTAGGACACCATGATAGTAATTCTGTCATATAATTGTCATTGTACTTGAAAAGTATCACCATGATGACCAAAACGTCGTACATTAAACATAAATTTAAACATAAATGTGGTTTGATTTGCCAGTGAGGGGGCGTATAAGCATGAAAACCACAGGATCAGTTTTAGGAGTCGCACTAGGGATCCCGAAAATTGTGCGGACATTTTTTCGGCGATAAAAACTCATTTCTCGATAGAAGTTAAATGTATCACGGTCAAACAGCCTAAAAATTATCCCTTTCCATAAATACCAACACTTTTATTTACACTTTACTACTTCCATTTGGTTCCTTAAATCTGTTCCATTTATTAATTAATTTTGGGTATATCTAGAAAATGAATTAGTATTTTTTTTAGCTTAAAAATCTTCGCTCTACGTTTTGATGCAACCCAATGGAACCTATTATAATAGGCGCATTTTTCAATGGGGATAGGAAGGGGGCTGCGATTAGATATCGGCAAGATGAAACTTTTTATATACGTATATATATGTATGACTGTGTATCAGCGCCCAAAAACCTATAATTTTTAGAGAACGGATCGTAACAAATTTTCTCGGGGAAGTAACCAAATTTAAAAAATCTTAAGCGTGGAATACAAAACTATGCTAAACAAGCAAATTTTAGGAAGCAACCAGATTCTCAAGGGGAAGCCATGGTAGCAAAAAGTTATTGCATAAAATGGAGACATTACTGTCACTAGCGCCCTCTATATACTATGTCGGGAAATAGAATATAATCGTATTTCTCATCTTCAGTAACAATGTTTCTAAGATATGTTTAGCCAACTTTCATGATTTTCACGAGTTCAATCTAGCATTGTTCCTTAGTACCTTCATTGTTGACTACTCTGTATATAATGTATAGAAAACTCATCCATTCACTTTTACTTCACAAATTAATACTGAATCATTGAGGGCTGCATGCATAGTATACAATTATCTGTGAAATCGAAAAAGTATGTTTCGCTAACATCGTTTTATGCTTTCTTGAGGTATGTCAGGTTTTTAAAATCCTATGAAAATCTCAATATACTTAATGAGTTCTTCCAGCTCAACTTGAACGTGAACTTCTAAACGGAAAAACACGTACAGTTTCATAAAGTCGTAGGGCTTCTGAAATATCCAAACCTGCTACAGTAGTTTATGAATCTGATTAACAAGGTGTGTTTAAGCTCCTGATAACAGTCGCAGTGCCTTGGTATTTAGGCTACTGCCTACCCGGATGCACCAGTATAAAAAAAGATAATCTATATTAATTTCTTGTATTATCAACTATGTCAATTGAATTCTGGGAAATATAATCTTATCTCAAAATACTCGTACTGTTAAAAAATGGACGGATGATAACAAAAAATTCGTACCTCGTCTAAATAGTAATTTGCTTGACCTTGATACATTTCTTTGACCAAGATATTGGATTTTCTGAGAGAGGCTACGAAATTGCAAAGCTTTGGTTGGGAAGTTTAGCAGAAACCACCTTATTTCCACTTGCTACGCGTTCTGTCGAACAGAGCAAAGTTTCGACTCAATTAAGACCATCCCAAACCACCTCTCTCACTTTAAATAGAAGTCTATAAAGTTTCACGCAGTCGGTATTAAATGACTTTGTCAAAACATTGGAGAGAGAGAAGCTAAATATGATATGTCTGCTTTTCATCTCTGTGACTATGATCAACCGTAAGTTGTTTGATGCCTATTAGCAATCATCAATTCGGTATAGATGTAGCTTTGGTGACAGACAGCGGGAAGCAAACAAACGAAAATAAGTCTACTGAAAAACTCACACCTCTACGTCGGTAATGGATGTGCCTATACGTAACCCGGCGTCACATCCTGTTCGATCAACGTAGAATGTGTCGCAAACCACTCATCAGTCAGGGGAGTACTAAGGGTTCACTATGCTACCAAGTGTGATGTATTGATGAAAAATTACAGGCCATTATTGATAATTAGGTAACTGTTTTTAGATATGAATATTTAGGTTAACTCACTTAACGAGTATATTTTTAAAACATACACAAAAATCTGACTGCAGTTATAATGAAGCTTTAGTTATGCTATCGAATGTCCAAACTCACCAAGCTGAATTATTTATTTTGATGGGACGGGGCACTGAGCATTTTCGCGGCGGACGCCTCAAATGTGAAAATCCATTAAGCCGTTTGAGCTGTACCCCGTAAAATGAAAATTTCCAAGTTGAAATTTTAGTTAAAAATCCGTCATTTTCGTTTAATAAAATTTTAGTGTACCCAGTGTTAATTGCATTTCAAGACAAAATCTAGGGACACCTCATAGATCAAAGTTCATTCAGTCATTTAAGCTGCAGCCCGTGAAATACAAATGTCAAAGTTGAAATTTTCTATTAAAATCCGTCATTTTGATTTTATAAAATTTTGGTAATCATTTGCTCTGACAAGTGTGGTACAGTAGGGATCTCAGTATGTTAGTTGTTTTGAAGATAGTTCTGATATTAATTTTTTGTCTTTTTGATAAACCTCTTAACGTATGGTATACAGAGCGTACTAATTGTGATTGCGCAAATGTTTTATTTCGCCATCTCAAGGCCAAACAGTTGTGTCTTATATACTTTTCTCACAGGACAAATAGCATGGTTCCCTGCAAATGATTGCAATCAACCGGCATGTTACTACAGTTCTGGGTGGGTTTCCGTATTCTTGGAGGGTTTCTGGCATTTTCGGAACGATGGACGAGGGTGTCGTACTCGTATCTAGTACATTAAAAAAACGTCAGATAACCTCATGCTCGCTTGTCGTTTTGGAGGGCTGGACATCCTATTGCGAGCCGGAATGCCTACTCCTGGCGGTCTTGGGCTATCTGCTGGTTTTCCGTGGTGCCATCTCAAATCTGGAATGATGGCTTTGCGCAATCTCAGCATGTTACGGATCTTTCAGTAGTAACACTCTGTATAGGAATGTGAAAAGAAAAAACAAACGAAGTATCGTCTGGAAGACCGATAAAAGGTATATTGTCAAAAAGTGTCAATTGTACTGAGGATGGTCACTGTTGGGTCTGAAACGTATACAATAAGGATGAATTTTAAACTCGTGTGGTTTGATTGGTCGGGCAAACATTTAATACTTCATATGTTGAAATTAATCAAGCCGTTTGGACTGTAGTCCGTGAAATAGAAATTTTTTCAGCATACATATACAGGGTGACTTTGAAGTTGGGTCATTAATTTTCAGATAATGATTGTAGAAGGAAGATAAACCAAAATCTGTGTGTAAAAATAAAAAAAAATGTTACCTTGTTTTATAAAGTATCCTCCCGACAAGTATTTCAGTGAGGACCTGTATTTGATCGTGCGGTCTTGCAGCACCGGCATGCCCTCCCCTGTGAGGTCTTAAGTCAACTGATTCACGAGCCCTTTGTACTACATTAACAAAGGCACGAAGGGTTGCACTCGATTGGGAAACCGATCCGCATAAATTCGTGATGCCGCGGCAGCATTTTGTAAAGACTCCCCCCCCGTAAATAAGAATCATGTCCACAAGTTCAGCATTTTCGTAAACATGTGCCATTTTTTATTTCGTTTGAGCCACGCAACAAACACCACTATTCACTCACGCGTTACCGACTGACACGTTGACTGAATACAACTGAATAAGATTGTAGTAAAAACATCGTGATAAGCGTTTCAAATTCTTTCGCTTTTTTGTTTCCGATGCGATGAACCGATAAGGCGGATTATATCCGTTGTTGCCAAACACGAGCACATAATATTATTATTGAGACAGGGCGGTACTCAAACTTCTAAAGGGCTATAACTTTGTTACTTTAATTTTACCAGAAAAATGTTAAAGGAAAAAACATTTCTTTTGATCAGATCTACTCACCGTTAAAATAAATGACTCAACTTCTAAGTCACCCTGTATACATACACACGCGCGAAAAACATAACTCTCCTTCTGAGACAGTCAGGTAAATGTCCGCAGAGATTTTCCTGAATACTGTACTATAATTTTTTTCCACGCGAATACCTGTGTCGGTGTCACGCCGAACCGTACCGCTCGTTCCGACGTGCGAGCTTGTTCATATTTGCTAGTTGTTTTATTTACCGGGAGTTTAATTAAGTTCGATCTGAGTGCTGTTTCTGCTGGACGTTTGCTGCTAGATTAAGCGTCGTGTGAGCTTTTTAGATAATTAAGACACAATGGAAGTCGACTATATCCACACCCCGCTTGGTAACAGTCTACGTGTAATGTTTTATTAGCTCTGGCAGTCATGAAAACAGCAAATGAAGACTCCAGTGCAACACAGGCTTCAGTTATAATCGTTAGGCTACGGTTATGATCCTTAGGCTATGGTTACTTTGGATGCGAATCCTGACAGAATGTTGTTCTGTTGAGTGGTGATTAATTCGTCCAAATAATCAAACAGCTCTTTTTCAATGAGTGTGCCCACACTAGCAGCGACCAGCGCGTTAGAGTATGATTGACATCATCAGAACCGTTCAAAGAGCTTTGATTTTTTCAGCTCCATCTTTTATGCATACTTACTTGCTTATTTTACCTCGGACAACCACAAATTGATAACTGTTGTGTACTAGAAGAGTTTACTGTAAGATATGAGATACGGGAGACAAAAATTCTCAATAATAACCTTTCAATCTCTCCTTCGTCATCTCTACTAGTAAAGAAAGGATCTGCTTTCCACCATTCAATATCATTAACTTAGCAAAGAACTTTTAAGAAAATAAAATTGATCAACTTCGTCCATATTTGCTGGGCGGCAGAAACGTATTGACTACAAAAATGTCAGTCAACGCTGACAGTGTAACCTTGATCTGACGAGGATCTCGGATGTGGTCGTCAGAACTCGATTTCATCATAATTTGCATTCAAATTTTCTAAGAGGGACATAAAACTCCATCAGGAAGAGTACAGATCTAATTGAGTTAGACATACAGTAAGCATATATGGCCAATCCTATAGGATAACTTATTGACTTTTAATAGATGACACAGGATTGCGAACTATGCTGAAACAGGTGGTTGTCTCATCTTGACTACAGGTTGCACTTGACTGGTTCTGGAATATTCTTATCGGGAAACAACACAGTTTTCCTAAATCAATGCTATTAGAATAATAGTTCAAGTTCGTGGCAAAGAAATAAGCAGTATACTGTTAGGCCCCCATCAGAGGGTCATGTTGAGTGAAGGACTGAACTAGAAGGTTTTGCTTCCCCAAGTATCAAAAATGTTCAAAGATAGTACAGGTATAGTGTATGATATCCCTCAGGCTCGTAGCGATACAGAGAATAGATCTCTTCTAATACCCCTCTATTTAACTACTGTTTTTTTGACCATTATATCGCATCATACCTATAGTAAAAGGCTACTATAAAAGTTTTGCAAACGGACGCAAGAGGCTGCATGTTACTGCTTGTTGAGACATGTCAATGAGTACACTGAAGTCGCCAGCAGCGACAGTGTGTGCGGATATGGCATCGTGGTCACGTAGGGAGATAAGATCAGTTTTACTGTATAACTTTACGCGTGGTTTAAGCATAGACCAGTGCTTAGAAGAAATGACGATTGCATTAAAGAATGATTGTCCTCATCGTACGACCATATTCAGATGGTACAGATAGTTCCAAAAGGGGCAATTTCACTCTGGAGGACGCTGAGAAGGAAGGGAGGCCGCGAACGTCAGTAACAGAGGAAAACATTACTGCAGTGAAGAAAATGCTTGACGGAGAGAGTAACATAAAAACAGATAGAGGATACCTTACACCTCCATGACTCAGCAATTCAATCAATTCTGCATGATCATTTACACGTAAGGAAACTTTGTTCTCTCTGGGTACCGCATAGTCTGACGAAAGAGCATAATACTCGTCGTACGACTAGGTGCCGAAAGATGCTGAAAATGATTTATAAGGGGCAAACTCGGTATGTGAACAGCATCGTGATAGGTGACGAGACTTGCTCCTTTTTTACGATCTGCCGACCAAGGCTCAAAACAAAGTTTGGGCAGCTGTCAGAAAATCCCGATCTGTTAAGAAAAAAATTATAGCTGTATTTTTTGAATGGAGCGGGATTGTGGAGCGTGTCGTTTTGGACACACAGAAGACAGTCACAGCTAAGTGGCACATTGAACAGTGTCTGCCTAAAGTCATAGAGTCTATGAAAAACCTGCGGCCAAAGTCAAGAATGGACACTTAGTACCTCCACCATGTCAACGCTCCAGCTCATCGCACCAAAGCCTGCACTGAGTATTTGACCACTACTGAACTGAAACTAATTGAGTATCCTCCTTGCAGTCCAGATCTTGCTCCCTGCGACTTTGCACTGTTTCCGTATGTGAAAATGAAGCTTAAAGGAAAACGGCTTTCTAACGATAACGTCCTTCTGAGGGCTTGGGACAACGAGTGTGCCGCACTCCCGGGTGAAACTTGGCAGAGCTGGTTTAAGGACTGGTTTTGACGGATGGAGAAGTGTATTCAATGTGGTGGAAATGACTTTGACCGAAGTCAATAAATAAAGCTGTATTACAAAACTTCTATAGTACCCTATACCATGTAGTGATTCTCACTGAATTGCGGCCGCGAAATTAACTACGCTTTCATCTATTCATCATACACATCATCCGCCATGATAATTTCTGTACTCGATTTTCATATGATCTCTATATCGAGATTATCATGGCAATATTGTAATTACAATGGGAGAACATATAAGTGACAGCAAGGCGACATCGAAACTAATTGCATGGGTCGAAGTTCAGTTAGAATCAGGATCTACTGAATCGCGCTCTATACTAGTATGTATCGCGTCAAAACGTAAAAAAATGTACATCGTTTTTCGACGGTACCAGTTAAAAGAGCGATAGTGCGATAGTTGCCATCATATTTTGGATGAAAATCAACAAAAGGAATCTCTGTTTCCCCTAGAAAAACTGATCGTATATGGGCTGTATGTATGGGTAATAGTAGGAGTAGTAGTAGCAGTAGCAGTAGTAGTAGTAGTAGTATTTATTGGCCATTTTGATACATAAGTATATATGGCAGGTCATTACAGAACAAATAAATTATCAAATAAATAAACAAATAAAAGATCACAGCAAAAACCTTATTGATAGAAAGTAGCTTTAACATGCTAAGACATGCACAAATATTAGGTAGGTAACTGATATTTAATTATACGTATATTATCTGTACTTGTGTTCTAAAAATTCACCAATCGTATAAAACCGCTCACCTGATAAAAACGATTTCACTTCGTATTTAAAATTTTTGTATGTTCTTATATTTTTAAAATGCTGAGGCATCTTATTATAAAATAGTTGTAAACAGTTGTAATGAGGTGAGTGCTTGAAGCGACTGGTGTTGTGTTTGAGGAAAGTTAATATCACACTGTTTCTGGTATTATATGTGTGGTACTGCCCTAGGCTCTCGAACTGGTACATGTTTTTCCAAACGTATAAAAGACACTTAAAAATGTAAACACAATTACAGTTAAAATTTTCTTAGATTTATATGTGGTTCTACATGTATTTCCAGGCGGAATATTGAAATATAGGCGCAGTAGTCTTTTTTGTCCTACAAATAGTCTGTCTTTGTCAACGCTGTTGCCCCATGCCATGATTTTATAGCTTATGTGTGAGTATGCTAATGCATAATATACCGTCATTAGTCCTTTCTCGTCTAAGGTGTATTTTAGTTGTAATAAGGCGAAGAATGCCTTATTAAGTTTTTGGCACACAGTTTCAATATGATCAGAGAAAGATAGTTTTGAGTCAAAGCGAGTACCCAAGAGCTTTGTGCAGTTCGAAGCCTTAATACCAGGAAGTATAGCAAAGTCGTTAGGTAGACGTTTTTGCATGGCGTAGTTCATTATGACGGTTTTGCCGTCATTTAGCATCAGCCTGTTGCGTTGACATGAGTCACTAAATTCATCAACAACATGGACCACTTTATGTTGAAGCTCATGAGGATTCTTTCCGTGAACTGTTATGTAAATTGGTAGATCATTTACGTATAAAAGAAAGATTAGCGGTCCTAAGACCCTGTGGTACCCCTAAACCAAGAGCCGTGGTATTCGATCTAACTGTTCCGATTTTAACTTAGAATTTACGTGCACTCATGTAGAGTATAATCCATTTCAGGGGTGCTCCACGAATACCTAGTGTCTCTAATTTTTCTTGCAGGTTATACCGGATGTAACAAAAGTAACGGAACGTTATGTAGTTTTCCAGGTAAGGTATTTTGGAAAATGGTCTTAGTTAGGTCTTGAATAAATTTTAACAATAAGCTTAATGGTGACGGTGGATTGTACCTTGAGCATCACCTTCAAGGTTATTTCAAGGTCAAATTTTGTTTTTTCAAATACAAAACCCTACTTTCGACACCGGTGAAGAACGAATATCTGTCAAGACTAAAGGTCAAATGAAGGGCAAATTCGTGAGATTAGAGAAACTTCACAGAAGTTTAGCAAGATTATTGGTGAGAAAGGAAGGCCATCCTGTTGACCTTGAGATTTACCTTCAGGTTCAAGATGTACCAGGTCGTAAAATTTTCATGGCCGGTGTCAAAGAGGATAGTTCCCGGTTAAAAAAAGTTTCCCTTGACATGAAGGTGAGGTTTAAAGTTGAATCTAAGATTACCATTGAAATTATTGTTGAAAGTTACTTAAGAGGTTTTGATTTCATCAGTAATCCTGCTATACTTCTGATTTTACGTTTATAGTTGCCCTTGATCTTAGACTCTAATATACATTTGGACATGGAATAATCCATTATTTCGATCGCTTGTGTCAAACCGGGGGCTTTGCATTAGACAAAAAGTTGAACTTGAAGTAACCTTTTAGATGAAGCTCAAGGTAAGATGCAAGGTCACGAAAGTCCGTACCTTACCTTTCCTGATAAAATACGTCGCTTTTGTTACACCCGGTAGATGCTACAGCCTGTCAAAGTATTAGACACCTTGCGTTTGGCCCGATTTCAGTCACTGACTTTCTGACACATTCAAAGAATAATTCTGTAAAGGTAAGTCATGAAATAAAAAAAATGTGTGATTCATTTCAGGGGTGTTTTCTTCTAGAAATCGTCTAAGGTGAGTTTATTTAGTATTTAATATATCATATACCCGTTTTACAGTCTGTAAGAACAAGAGAAATGTTGATCACATGCATGCGCACTGATAAACAGCTAATTCTTTACGTCATTTCCTTGCAACTGCCGGGGCTGCGCATGAAAATCAATCCGTTAAATTTTCAATTCAAGTTTGACTGTAATTATGGTTAAATGGTAACTACTAATGGATGTAAATGTTCCTGGGCTGGTACTGTGGTTTGTGTGGTCATATTTAATTGTTACCGGTATACGTCTGATTGTATTCTGAATTTGAATGATCGGCGATTGAAACTAGTTTTTAGATATTAAAACTATGTATTCTAAAGGGTAAAAAACAAAAAAAATAATAGGTTAGGAATGTGCCTAGGAATATTTCATTCTTCTAGATTCTCTAACCTTGATCATTAGAATCGAAGAAACGGGTCCGTCTTGCAACTGCAAGTGATTGGATGCAATTATCTTGCAGACAAAACAATGCCATCTTGCACCTGCAAGAGCTTACATGAAATGGTGCCTTGCGGACTGTAAAACGGCTTATAGAGTTAATGTGGTAAGGTAGATTTCTCCGGGAGTACAATCATACATTTTTTGCATCCTTTGGAAAACAGTTCCTGCTGGGGCCCATGGTGAAAGGTAGGATTTTTATTAAATAGACGGTGATACCAAGATCAAAGGGACCAACAGTAGCTGTCGTCTGTACGTAATATGTGTATGTGCTGTTTTGTGCTGACGTCTGGCATGCATGCTACGTACACAGCACGATCTAATTGTGATACGGTACAAAGGGAAGATACCTGTAACCAACGGATTCGGACTACCTGTAGTAGATTCAATCCATCTACATTTTTTTGGCTGAACTATACCTATATAGTATTTGATTTCTTATTTTAAAATGACAGATTAGGAGGATGTAACTTGCACGAAAATATCTACATATACTGTGGTATAGAATACTGCCATTAAGCTGTTTTCTTCTTGTTTATACAAAAGATTGTTCAAAATAATATGAATATAACATAACACTGTAAGTTACTGAGATACTGTTCATCGCAATATTGCGATTTTCTATTATTTTAATGATGAAAATAGTTCATTGTTAAGTAGTCATTTCTTTATATCAGATAATTATTCCCATCACTACATCACCGTCACTGTCATATTCTCTCCATGTAGTTGCGAAGTTCTCAAATCATGGATAGTAATATACCTTAATTTGGTTTGTCAAATTCTTATATACTAACGCAAAAATGTGCAATCGGCACAGGACTGTCATGAAAATGCGATTTTGTGGTGTGGCCGGCAGGTTTTACTGTACTAAATCCACCTTGTGCCCTACAATAGCGTTAGCTAAACAGATTTTTTTGAAGAATTTTGAAGAATTCACAAAAGTACTTCGGTTATTGTTTTTCCTATATTATACGAGGGATGTCTTTTAAGTTTTGCATATGGAAATAAAACAACACGGTAGGTAGTTTTAAATGACTTGATTGTTTTTCGAAGTATTCTCCACGAAGATTAATACACATCTGCATGCGCTCGAACCAATTTTCGAAGCACTTATTCCACTCGTTTGCTGGCAGATCCAAAACGGCATATTTGAATGCGTCAACTGCTTCTTCTGGTGACTGGAACCTTTGGCCACGCAGTCTGTTTTTAATTTTCGGGAAAGTAAATAAATCGTTAGGACTTAGATCGGGACTATATGGAGGATGGTCAAATAATTCCACGTTTTCTTTCGTTAAATACTGCCTTGTTTTTTGGGCTGTGTGCGAGCTTGCATTATCTTCGTGGAGGATGATTCTTCTTTCGGGTTTGATTTTTCGAAGCTCGGTGATGACTTTTGCCAAACAAATGGTGGTATACCACTCCGCAGTAATATTTCTTTGCTCATTAAGAGGAATCGTTGCAATATGACCCGCTTTTGACACAAATGTCGAGACCATCTTTTTCGAAACACTTCGAGAACTGATGATTTTTGTTGGCTTTTCTTCACCTTGGAACACCCAAACAGCCGACAGCCGACTGTCGTTTATTTTCTGGTTCACAACAGTAAATCCACGATTCATCACCACTAACAATCCTGTACACATTTTTTGAGCTTCCGGAATTGAAACGGTCAAGCGTTTTTTGACACCAATTAACCCTGGCTGCTTTCTGCTGTTCAGTCAACAGGTGGAGTATCCAACCAGAAACTAATTGTCTTACTCCTAATTCTTCATGCAAATTTTTTTGAACTGAGGTCTTTGAGATCCTCAAGGATGCCTCAATCTCGCGATATGTTACATGTCTATCTTCAATGATGAGTTTGCGCACAGCATCGACGTTTTCCTGGGTGACTGCCGTTTTTGGTGCACCCACCCTGGGATCGTCGCTAAGACTCACCCGTCCACGTTTGAATTCTCCATACCAACGGGAAATTGTCGACTGATGTGGCGCGTCGTTGCCGAAAACAGACAGTAACTCAGCAAGGCATTCTTGTTGCGATAATTGTCTCTGAAAGTTGTAATAAATTATGGCGCGAAAATGTTCTCGGTTGAGTTCCATTTTTCTAATGACTTGGTGAGACTTAAAAATTCACTGTAATGAGAACACACTGCACGTATGGTTGTGAAACTTTGAATTTAAGTTTACTAAAGAGTGAGGTTAAGATTCAGTACTGACGTACGATCCGCGCGGCCTACTATGTTTCTATATACAAAACTTAAAAGACATCCCTCGTAGTTATAAAATATTTACTTTTTTATGCATGTACTTGAAGAATTATTCAAAGTGAAGCTGATGTTACAAAATGTACCTAATTAAATGTGATATATATGAGAAATAACTGAAAAATTAGCTGTTGCAAATCACTAAATAATGAAAACATAACAAAGAACATTGCAAGTTTTTTGATGATTTGATGAAATGATCCTTGATCTTTGTTTAACTATAATGTTGGATGGACCTGACAAGATGGTCCAAATCGATGAATCGACGTTGGGTATTTTTATATGCAATGACCGCTGGTGCCTTTTGTATTTTTTATGTCACTCGAGCCGCTAGTGCATTTTCCACTGTTTAGACACATACCGTTCAAAATTTCATCTAATTTTCGGTAAATATTGGGACAACTTTTCATAAATCAAGCCGTTTACAATAATATAATACTTTTATTTTGCAAATAACCTCATTTCCAATTACGTATTTCTCCCAGAAAAGGTACAACTTGGCAACAATAGACATCATTTATCTTATCTGTCAAGAAATGAGCGTTATAAAATGGCCATTGAGAATTGTTTGTACTTTCAAATATTTCTTATAAATGCAAAAACTTTGATCTCATTGAAAATATGCGAAAAAAATGGTTAAGGAATTTCAAGAAGACATTGAAAAATCCCAAAACAACACCTCTACACAGTTTACCAAGTAAATACCATCATTCACGTATGTATTTTGATCTGTTATTTAGGCTAATAAGCTAATTTGTAATAACATCTCTGGTTTGAACCTTTTTTTGCAAAAGACAACGATTTTTTACAGTTCCACACCTATTTTCCTTAGTACTATACAGTGTATGTTATATTCTTAACTTAGAGCATCCTTTTGTACAAAAAGCAAAAAAAAAACAGCATATAAAACAGTATTCTATTATAGAGTATTAGCATCAAAAATGCAACTTCGAAGTTCTATAAAATAGCAAGCAGAGGGTTCCTTAAAGAAAAAATGATATTTTCGTAAAAATTACATCCTAATCTTTCATTTTGAAGTAAGAAATGAAGTATTTGCGATATGCGCTAAAGTATAGTCTTACCTTTTTTTACTTACTTTACACAAGCCGTTCCTCTTCTACCAGTATATAGGCATTTTGCGAAGCAGAATGCACTCCAGATTAGCAATCGCTAGTTTATAGCAGCGTTACGGATAAAAATAGCAAAATTTCGCCATATGCGGCTGATTGTTTTTTAATTGAAAATGATCCAGAGGGATGTAGCAGTGTGTAATTTGGAAAGCAACATGCTGGAAGCCAACTGATTTTGGCCTCACGTACACGTGGGGAGCTAATATTGAATTCCCGTTACATGACGCACTTTACCATGTACGTGCATTTACCGTGCTTGTGGAGAATGTTCATATTAAGCAATTAATTAAATATGGCAAATTAAACAGCTAAAGCAGCTCGGTGGCGTAGTGGTAGATCAGTCGCCGTGAACTGCTGTTACCACCGAGAGTACTCTCGGCAGATGTTCAAGAAACAAATTTTATCGTCGATGTTGTTCCCTCGAGCCCACCCTCCACCCGGACATTCCGAGAGTGGAGTGAGTTTTCGTCCGGAGTTCTTAGTGTGTGTGTGAAGATTCCATCATCATTAATTTCTTTGTTTTGGAAGATAACCGACTGCATAGCTTAGGTGTGGAAACATGCGGACATTTATAAGACACACTGGGAAAAGCTAGCGGGTGGTACTGCCTCGGTCGACTGGTCCTTGTCTACCACCTTCTTTTTACGTGTTAGTGATATTAAATAGACCTAAAGAGGCCCGTTGGCAGACTTGTACCGCCACCCGGCAATCGGTACTGAGGTATTCCTTAACGCGTGTACAATCACTTGAACGGGAAGAAGTTGTATACTGGATACAACAACTTCCGGAACAAGTGTTTGCCACGGCCCCGCTCAGTAGGGACTGAAATACGTTAGAAAAATAAGATGAAGAAAGATGTTTATATGTTCAGAATTAAAAGTATCTCACTTAACAGCAAAGAACCGAAACTATATTGCCTGGTCTAATAGGTGAAAGGTAAAATTCTGTGGTGAGACGGACTTACCGGTAACAAGGTTGGCATGGTGAAATTGGCAAACAGCGTCGGCTTCATACCATGAAATTCGGTCACGGAAGTGGCGGTAAAACACCGGAAAACCTTCTTCCGGCAACATCCAAGTGTTACTGATGTTTACCTGAAATAAATTAAAATATGAAAATAGTCAGTTGAAGATATCAAAAAAGAAACTGTCGGCTACTTGGGCACGTTTCTCATTTGTTTCGGGCGCTGATATTACAGAGCATCCAAAACGAGCAATGCTTTTGTGGTAATATTTGGCTATAACCGTGGCAACCGTATATACGGATATATATTCCAGCTATATCTCGGCTATATTTCGCGTAATATTGTCTGCAAGGTGTAGACACATACACTTTTCTGAGCTTCTCATCAGAAAGGCCACAAAATCAGAAAGAAATTAGCGTTACTTCAATTCCATATTAATTTACAATGATGAAAAAATCTCGTACGCCTCATTCATTGTCGTGTGAAATTTTGGCTACCTTCCAAGTGACTGGGTAAAGACTGCTCTGCCTAGCTAAAGACAGAACCCTATTTGTGCCAAGTTTTATAATCCATGAAGGTAGCTAAATACTTCTAAATAGTTTTGGTGAAAAAATAATGACTTTCGATTTTAAAGGGTTCAACCGAAGGTTATGATTTTTTGCATACATACTAATAGATGTTGTATCTTCATTTACCTCAGATTCAGCATTTCGAATGTCGTGATTATGGAAATGACTTTAGATCTGTGAATCAATTTTTTATTTTAAATAAATTACAATTTAAATGAAAAAAACAGTTTCACAAATACATGAGCTTGTATGGTCTTGCTACCCTGAATAACCAAGATTGCAACAGAAATCTAAGCAAAGATACTAGCATCAGATCTAGAACCAGCAAGTAACGGTATATGAATTGTAAAAATTCTGTATACTTTCGTAAAGGGTAAATGTCTCAATCTTGTCGTCATAAATCCTAAATTACGTGTCTGAATAAACAAATCTAAAATTCATAACAATAGTACAGAAGCATAAAATATGAATATCTGAAATATGATAATATAGGGATATTTCGAGTAAGGTCAAACTATGTTGTTTAAACAATAAACATTTTGCGTAAAGGTTAAGCAGAGAAACAAGAGTACTACAATTTACTACAAAAGAATAGACACCTAAGCTATAAGCTTGTGTGTGTCATACAATATACAAATTCAATGCATGGCTAATGGTCATAAAGTATATTATGATCAAATGTATATAAAAAAAGGAAATAATAAAACATTAGATAGAAACGAAATGATTGAATTGAGTCAAGCTACAGTCGATGCAAGCATGTCAAAGTTATTTAAGATGTACTTCTTAATTAATTAATTTTCAATGTAAACAAATCTGCAACTTGACCTACATGGGATACGAAAAATCGTCCTGACAATATAATTTTGCGTGGTTTGTAGTGTTTTTAAAGTACTTGTGTATGCGGCTCCCCATATACTTATCCCGTAAGTTAGTAGAGACCCCACAAACGAGTTATACAGGGTGTTTCAGTTTATTGTTGCATAACTTTAAGATTCGATAGAACTTTTAAAATTAATGCATAAAGTCTATATAAACATGGGTCGAAAAATGCGTGGCTTCCGAAATACAGGGTGTTTAAATTTACTTTCTAAAATAGTTTTTTTTAAATATTTCGAACAATATTTGATGTATAACAGTGAAAATTGGTATACAAGGGTTTTTTAGTACGACAAAACGAACCATGGGCATAGTTTTACTGTAGCCGCTAGAGGGCGAAAAAATTTTCTTCGTGCAATTTTTTGCTTTTTGAATAAAAAAACTGATTCTTCGCACTTTTCAACATAAAAATGCTCTCTTGTGAATTTTCGTTATAGTTAGCCGTTTTTGAGATATTTCGATTTTTAAGGTTCGATTCATTTTTAATTATTTATGGGAAAATAATATTTTTTTTTTACATTTTCGATTTGGGCATTAGAAGTAATTAAGATGATCGTATAGATTGTGTTTTTAAACACAGCAATAATTCCTAACTCCAAATAAACACAAAAAACAGAATATTAATTTGTTTAATTTTCCAATATTATTTTTAACAAATTAAATTAATTATTTACAGCTAAAATGCTTTTGGATAGTTAGGACAAACATACAAAATCTAAAGTAGTTGCTCGAAATGTTAACCCAATTGTTCAATACACAATTCACATCTACGAATGATCGAACGTGGTATAGCATTATTCAAATGAGGCCTTATTTCATCACATGCATTCCTGATACTATCTATTAGCATATCTCTTGTGGTTACGGGAGTCTGGTACCCTTTTTTTTTAGAAATCCCCACACAGAGAAATCTAATGGATTTAGGTCAGGGGATCGTGGAGGCGACTGGTCCTCCAAGGCCGATCCATCTTTCTGGATAATTTTCGTCCAGCCAGTTTCTAACTATTCTCGAATAATGAGCTGGACAACCATCAAGCTGGAATCAGGCCAATCTTCTTAAATCTAACATAACATCATCCCACATATTTGCATGTTCAGTCTTTAAAAATTCCAAGAAAGTCGCAGCATTTAACCTTGCAGGCAAAAGGTAGGGTCCAAATAGTCGATTACGGTAGATACCAATCTACACGTTCACACTAAATTCATGCTGAAAATTTCTTCCCCGAACTGCATGCGGATTTTCATGTGACCAAATATGATGATTATGAAAATTTACCACTCCACGTCTAGTGAAGCATGACTCATCGGTCCATAAAACGTTACTTAAAAACTCCCTATTATTATCAGTTCTATCAAGAATCCACTGACAAAATGTGATTCTTCGTTCTCCGTCCCCTGGCTGTAGTCCTTGCACAGGTTGCAAATGGTAAGGACGTCTATGGTCATTTCTAAGATCACGGTGAACATGGCTTGCTGAAATTCCCAAGGGACAAGAAACTCTCCTAACACTTGTGGTCGGAACTCTATCAAACTCACGCAGAATCATACGGGTAAATCTGCGCTGACGAACATTCATGTTTTGATCCCTTTGGAGATTTCCAAAACCATTTTCAATTATTTGGCGATGCACTCTTACAAATACTGAGCGAGTTGGATGTCGTCTAACTCTTGATTGGAGAATAAAAATGGCATTTTTATAAAACTTACAAAAAAAAAACAGGTAAAAGAAACTCAATTTCGTGCATTAACAATTGCAAAAAAACGTTTCAGGTTTCAACAGACAACAAAACTAACTGTCAACTAATTGACGTTTAACCTTATTCTGCTTTCAATTTCAAAAATATTTGCAGGTACAGCCTACTTCTAAAAATTATCGAGATACTGACTTTTTAACGTTATTTTATCATAAATAATTAAAAATGCATCGAACCTTAAAAATCGAAATATCTCAAAAACGGCTAACTATAACGAGAATTCACAAGAGAGCTTTTTTATGTTGAAAAGTGCGAAGAATCATTTTTTCCATTCAAATAGCAAAAAATTGCACTAAGAAAAATTTTTCGGTCATTTTAATACACTACAGGTACAGTAGAGAGCGCCCTCTAGCGGCTACAGTAAAACTATGCCCATGGTTCGTTTTGTCGTACCAAAAAACCCTTGTATACCAATTTTCACTGTTATACATCAAATATTGTTCGAAATATTTAAAAAAAACTATTTTAGAAAGTAAATTTAAACACCCTGTATTTCGGAAGCCACGCATTTTTCGACCCATGTTTATATATAGACTTTAGGCATTAATTTTAAAACTACTATCGAATATTAAAGTTATGCAACAATAAACTGAAACACCCTGTATATTGAGAGAAGACTCTTTCTGCTTAAAATATTCCTAAGAATGAAAAACTTATGAATAATTCTCCTTAATTTCGATGCCAAAAGCTCGGCATGACTCTGCCATTTTAAATTACTGTCAACAGTGATTCCTAAGTATCTAATAACTTTAAATCTTTCGACAGTGTCAGCACTATCATTTATAATTAATGTTCGGTGGTGTAATGGCATGCCTGCTTTGGTTTAAGTTTAAGGAAATTGTTATCCAACCAGCGTTTGACTTTATTTAATGACAACTCGGCATTCCGTGTTGCGTCATCCCATGAATGACCAGTGCAAACTAAAACTATGATATCATTTTACAGTTGAAATTGCATCGAAGTAGTTCATTTATGTATATGAGGAACAGTGTTGGCCCCAAAACCGTCCCCTGAGGCACACCTATTTTGTTCTTTTGAATGCTGCTTGAATCTGACCCTACCTTAACTTGTTGTAATCGATCAGCCAAATAGTTCCCAAATAAGTTCAGAACTCCACTACGCACTCCAACACTTTCTAATTTCTTTAATAAAATTGTATGAGATACTGAATCGAAAGCCTTTTGAAGATCTAGGAAAACTGCAACAGTCTTATTTCCATCTTGAAAATATTCAAGCACTTGTTCTGCAAGTTCTTGTAGAGATTGCTCTGTATTGCAATTTTTGCGGAACCCAAATTGACAGTTCGATATTATGTCATATTTCTCAAGAAAAGAACAAAGTCTGTTATTCAAACACTTCTCAAAAATCTTCCCAAATACATTGATAACTGAAATAGGTCTATAATTGGACATATTGGGTGATATGCATAAAGGTGAGTGGGTTCTCAGAAGTAGCAACTCCATATTATAGCGAGTAACTACTCCTGTTAGGGAGAACCTACCCGGTTTTGATATGCATAAAATATTTGTCGAGAAACGGAGAGGCTACTCAAATGCTAATGAAATACTTGAGTAGGCACTCTCACTCTCTATTTTGTTGTCTCGACGAATTGGCAATTTCTCTATTGCGACCAGTTACTACTGTATACCGGCAAACGTTTGTGTCGGTGGTGTTTAGGTGGATTATTATTTGTTCATTTACATGATGTCAACCTATTCTGAAGACCGTTCATCTGAAAATCAAATAGTATTTGTTAATATAATTAAACAGTATCCCGTTTTGTTGAAAAAATCTAACATCCCGGAAATCAAAAATAAACGATGTAAGGCGGTTGAAGAAATAAAAGAAAAGGTAGAAGACGAATTAGGAGTTAAATATAGTGAAGGGCAGATTTGGAAGGAGATTCAAAACATAAAAACCAGATTAAAAGCGAAGACAGAGAGAAATCAAGCCGGAAACAAACCAATAAAATTGAAAGGATGGGAACAAGAACTGTTCAATTTTCTACAAGGAGAATCAAGTCCCAGTATGCAATGTTAGTTGTATTTTTTTGTTTTTCCATACAGTAGGTATGGATTGTGAGAGAGTATAATATATATAACGGGTGATTTTTTAAGAGGTATAAAAAACACAAAAAAATTGAAAAAACGATTAAATCTTTATTTGAGTCGATAGAACGGTTGATATAATTTAATGTTTAAAGATTATTTCATGTAAATGTTGGCCGCGGCTCCGTTTTAGATGGCCCATGCGCAAGGTCCAATTTTGGCACACTCTCTCCAACATATCGGCCGGTCTCTCACGAATAAATGCTTCAATATTGGCTTCCAGTGCGTAAATCGTTGCTGGTTTATCCCTGTAGACATTAGCCTTAACATGGCCCCACAAAAAATAGTCCAACGGCGTTAAATCACACGATCTAGGCGGCCAATTGACGGGCCCCAAACGTGAGATAAACTGTTTACCGAACTCGCCTCTCAATAGGGCCATTGTTTCGTGTGCGGTGTGGCATGTGGCACCGTCTTGTTGAAACCGTATGTCAGCCAAGTCCAGCTCTTCCATTTTGGGCGAAAAAAAGTCTGTTATCGTCGCACGGTAGCGCTCGCCATTCACAGTTACGTTCCAGCCATTGTCGTTTTTGAAGAAGTACGGCCCGATGTTGCCACCGGCCCATAATCTACACCAAACAGTGATTTTTTCGGGATGCATTGGTAGCTCTTGCAATGCTTCTGGCTGGTCTTTACTCGAGATGCGGCAATTTTGCTTGTTAACGTACCCATTCAACCAGAAATGAGCTTCGTCGCTGAACACAATTTTTCGATAAAAATGTGGATCTTCCTCCAACTTTGCCAGCGCCCATTCACCAAATTGGAAACGCTGTGGGAGGTCGTGTGGCTTCAATTCTTTTTATATTGCTTAAAGCACCGCCCCCATATTCTTCTGCCTCTCCAAGAAAATGGTTACTTATCCACTCAACATTACCTCTTCTAAACCGATATAAGGCCCAATAGTCTACTTCTCTTGATTCCATACGATCTTTAAACATCTTTTTAGGCTGATAAATAGGCATAAATTCGGCCATTTCGTGAAGACATCCACTTCTTATAAAGCTGAGTCTACTACTAAGGTATCTCGCATTTCTTTAAGTATGTACTCAGCGGTCGGAGTGGACGCTCGCTTTTATGCATATAAAAATTAAAGTCGGCACTCCATGAGCGAGTACAGCCTCACGGAAAGAGTAGAAACTTTTGAGTGTGAGCTTCTACTTACATTTTTATGCATATCAAATGGAGTGGCTACTTTAAAAATGCGAGTCAAAAGTAGCCACTCGCCTTTATGCATATCACCCAATGGGTGATATGCATAAAGGTGAGTGGGTTCTCAGAAGTAGCGTCTCCATAATGTAGCGAGTAACTACTCCTGTTAGGGAGAGCCTACTCGGTTTTGATATGCATAAAATATTTGTCGAGAAACGGAGAGGCTACTAAAGTGCTAATGAAATACTTGAGTAGGCACTCTGGTTTTCGAGTTCCCACTTGTATTTTGTTGTCTCGCCGAATTGGCAATTTCTGTATTGCGAGCAGTTACCACTGTATACCGGTAAACGTTTGTGTCGGTGGTGTTTAGGTCGATTATTATTTGTTCATTTACATGACGTCAACCTATTCTGAAGACCATTCATCTGAAAATCAAACAGTATTTGTTAATATAATTAAACACTATCCTGTTTTGTTGTAAAAATCGAACATCCCGGAAATCAAAAATAAACGACGTAAGGCGGTTGAAGAAATAAAAGAAAAGGTAGAAGCCGAATTAGGAGTTAAATATAATGAAGGGCAGATATGGAAGAAGATTCAAAACATAAAAACCAGATTAAAAGCGAAGACAGACAGAAATCAAACCGGAAACAAACCAATAAAATTGAAAGGATGGGAACAAGAACTGTTCAATTTTCTACAAGGAGAATCAAATCCTAGTATTGCTCGATTGAAATGTTAGTTATATTTTTTTGTTTTTCCATACAGTAGGTATAAGATGTGATTGAGTATAATATATATACATGTCAATAAATAAAAATAACATATATTTTAAATTTTAGGTGCTGATTTGGCAGGTTGCCCACAAAAAATGCGTTGATTACACTCCAACAGCCTGTGCTGAAGAAGAAACAATCACAGAAGAAGCATCTGGAAGTGCAGGACCAGTACTGAAAGCTACCACAATGAAAGCCGGACCCAGTAAGGAGCCTTCTAAAAAAAAGGAAAACGAGAATTAGTGGAAACCGATGAAACACGAGATTTATCAATAACAGAGCTCCAACGTCTCGTTTTACTTGAACAATTACAAGTGTTTCGGCTAGCTAAGGAACTGCTACTTCACAACAAAAATATTAATGAATCTGATCCAAATTTATCAACTTTAAATGAAAGTGCAGAAACTGGAAATCCAATTTTCATGATCCTATTTCCAGGACAGAACTGACATAAATACTTAACTTACCATTTTGAAAGTGTTATTAATTTTGTTATGAGTAATTAAACATCGTTCTTCAACGTATATCTACATAATTTTTAAATTTGGATCATGCTAGACACTTACTTACCCGAAAGCCATGAATAATTCTTGACATTGCATCTCTTCTAAATTGACCTCTCTGACGTATCACTCCATCTGCATAGTCGGCAGTATGTTGGTTATGGATTTCTTCTTGTTCGCCATCTCCCGGTATATCAACAGCAAAATCTTCATCATTGAGGTGCTTAGCCACAGTATGCAAGATAAAACAACTCATGACAAGGGAGGGCACTTTTTCTGTATCGAAGCGTATTTTGTTATGTAGAATGGGAAAACGCTGTTTTAGTTGCCCGAAACATCTCTCTATTATAACTCGCTCTCTCGTAAACAGCCGATTGTATGATCTTTGTTCTGCTGTTTCTGCAATCCTAAAAGGAGTCATGAGCAAAGGAGCTATACCATACCCAGAGACTCCCAACAAAACAGCACTAGCCCTATTCAATTTCATAACGTTGTATATATCAGAATTCTTCCATATCCGAGAGTCGAGTACAAATCCTGGCCAAGAAACATCCACACTTGTGAACTCTTCGTTTGAATTGCACGTTGCTTGTATATTTATACTAGCAAAGTTCTTTCTGTTCACATATTCGTCTGCATGAATAAACGGCTTCATAATAGGTATATCGGTGCAGTCGATAGCACCAATAGCTGAAGGAAAATTGAACTTTTCTTGCCACTTATTTTTAGCATTGTGTAGATCTTCACATGAGGTTGGGAATCTAATCCAAATATTCGACTTCTGCACAATGCGTGTTATAACGTTGGTAACGGTTCGGGATACCGTAGATTGATGGACACCAATACCGTCTCCTATGCCAATTTGAAATCCTGGATCACCCACATATCGTAAAAAAACCCTCATTCTTTCTATATTGCTCAAAGCACCGCCCCTATATTATTCTGTTTCTCCAAGAAAATAGTTACTTATCCACTCAATATTAACTTTACTAAACCGATATAAGGCCCGATAGTCTACTTCCCTTGATTCCCTTCGATCTTTAAACACCTTCGTAGGCTGATAAAAAATAGGCATAAACTCGGCCATTTCGTGAAGACATCCACTTGTTATAAAGCTGAGTCTACTACTAAGGTATCTCGCATTTCTTTAAGTATGCACTCAGCGGTCGGAGTGGACGCTCGCTTTTATGCATATAAAAATTAGAGTCGGCACTCAAGGAGCGAGTACAGCCTCACGGAAAGAGTAGAAACTTATGAGTGTGAGCTTCTACTTACATTTTTATGCATAACAAATGGAGTGGCTACTTTAAAAATGCGAGTCGAAAGTAGCCACTCGCCTTTATGCATATCACCCATTGGGTGATATGCATAAAGGTGAGTGGGTTCTCAGAAGTAGCGACTCCATATTGTAGCGAGTAACTACTCCTGTTACGGAGAGCCTACTCAGTTTTGATATGCATAAAATATTTATCGAGAAACGGAGAGGCTACTCAAGTTCTAATGAAATACTTGAGTAGGCACTCTGGTTTTCGAGTTCCGACTTGTATTTTGTTGTCTCGCCGAATTGGCAATTTCTCTATTGCGAGCAGTTACTACTGTATACCGGTAAACGTTTGTGTCGGTGGTGTTTAGGTGGGATATTATTTGTTCATTTACATGATGTCAACCTATTCTGAAGACCAGTCATCTGAAAATCAAACAGTATTTGTTAATATAATTAAACATCCCGGAAATCAAAAATAAACGCCATAAGGCGGTTGAAGAAATAAAAGAAAAGGTAGAAGCAGAATTAGGAGTTAAATATAATGAAGGGCAGATTTGGAAGAAGATTCAAAACATAAAAACTGGTTACTTATTAAACTTACTTATTTTAACTTTACTAAACCGATATAAGGCCCGATAGTCTACTTTCCTTGATTTCCTACGATCTTTAAACACCTTCGTAGGCTGATAAATAGGCATAAATTCGGCCATTTCGTGAAGACATCCATTTCTTATAAAGCTGAGTCTACTACTAAGGTATCTCGCATTTCTTTAAGTATGTACTCAGCGGTCGGAGTGGACGCTCGCTTTTATGCATATAAAAATTAAAGTCGGCACTCATGGAGCGAGTACAGCCTCACGGAAAGAGTAGAAACTTATGAGTGTGAGCTTCTACTTACAATTTTATGCATATCAAATGGAGCGGCTACTTTAAAAATGCGAGTCAAAAGTAGCCACTCGCCTTTATGCATGTCACCCATTGTCTTTACTTCCAGATTTAAATATTGGTGTCACTATGCTTTCTTTAAATTGGCGAGGAATTACTGAGGATTTGAAACAGAGGTTGATAATGTGAGTTATATGGTGATTGATATACTTCATGATCATCTTGATAGTTTTATTGTGTAAGCCATCTTTTCCGGCTGCGCTATTATTTTTCAGATTACAAACTATTTGCTGTAACTCTATGTTATCCACTGGAGTTAGAAACATAGAGTGTGCAACGTTGATGACATGAAGATCTGATGTATCAAGAATTGAGTTTTGATCAATCTGACTTGTTATTTGCTCACCTATATCAACAAAATATTTATTAAAAACACAGGCTATATCAGTGGGAGCGTCCAGCTGCTGATTATTGTGATTAATTGATTTTACGTCATTTTTTTTAATTTTGCATTAGTTACCTCATTAATAACATCCCAGCTTTTCCTATAGTTATTACCAGCTAAAATGAGTTTTAGTGTATAATATTGATTTTTAGAGATCTTAATAAGTTTAGTTACTCTGTTTCTGTAGGAGATATAGGACTGTCTCAATATCAAATTATCATTATCTTTCGTCAAACTCTGTTTCAACTCATCCCTCTTCTTGATCGAAGTAAGAATATCGTCAGTCATCCACGGCTTACGTTTTCTAGTCTTACTATTGATTTTTAAATAATACGTTGAATGATCTATGCCTTTATATAATTCATTATAGAAGTTATCAGTTGCTTTTTGGACATCACTCTCTGAAAAAACAATGACCCAAGTCACCACTTGTAAATAATCTGACAACCTTTTCTCATCAATTTTCTTAAATTCATAGCTATTTTTATTAATGATACAATTACTTCCTTTCAAATACCCAACATTGAACAAAACAGGATAATGATCGGTCATACAATTTTCCAAAAGTATTGGTTTACACTCAATTGCTGTTTCAGAGACCTTAAATCTGTTTGTCTTCAAAAATATGTGGTCGATAATCGTAGATGAGTTAGAATCTACCCTAGTAGGTGCATTAATCTGAGATATGTACCCGTTCTGTTGTAACATATTCACGTATCTTAAATTGCTGTATTCATGTTCTCTCAATAAGTCTATATTTATATCACCCACCAACAACGAAATGTCACAGTTTGCAGTACTTCCCAAATACGAATCCAAATTGTATACAAAATCCTGTACATTCGTGGGATTAGGCTGTAGATACCAGTAATACTGAACCTGTTATTGTTGAAAATAAAGCTACAATTCAATGGCGTCACTACATCTATCATTTTTATGGAAACATTTGCCGAAATGTCATCTCTTACATACATACAAACCCCATCGCATTTATTATACTTAGCTTCATTATAGTACATTTGGAAACCATTTATTTTATAACTGTCGATATTACTGATATTCCAGGTCTCACTCAAAACAATTATACCTATATTTTTATACTTATTTAATACCGCTATGCTTATACAAAGCTCATCATAGTGAGCTTGCAAGCTCCTGATATTGTAACGAAGTATAGTAGAGTTTAACTTATCACTTCTCTCAAACAAACTTCTCTCTATTTAGTTCATCAAAATTAGAACAACTGATGGTCGTGATATTGTTATAATCCTCTAAAATATTCAAAGCTGTATCAATATCAGTCATATACAAATCAAGCTAAACTCAATACAGAAAAAACTGAAACTAACTAAACTGCTACAACTAAACAATGGCTCAGTTATGTAACAAATTACAACTCGCAGAAAAGGAAGGAGAAAAAAAAAGAAAAGAAAAAAGTACTAAAGCAAAATGAAAAGCTCACATCCACTCTGCAGCAACCTTAACAGTACATGGGATCATTACTACGCCACGTTATTCAAGTCCTCTTCCGTTTTTATCTGTAACTTATTTTCTCGCAGTTTCACCCATATTTCTCCGTTATAAAACCAGGTCTTCTGCTTACCCGATTTCTGCACGGCCTTTGATACAGGTTATATAGAGCAGGTGACCTATCTTCAGTAAGAGTTACTCCTGAACCTTTCAGCAACTTCCTACTTCTCAGAAGCTTCATTTTCAGGTTATGAGAATTTACAGTAAACAAGACAGAACGCTGTTCGTTCTTTTTTCTTCCTAACCAAAAACAATTTTCAATATTCTCTTCCAAAACTCGAGTTTTTAGGTTATCTTCGCATAGGGTAAGCACCTGCTCCAGGACCCTTGTACCATATGATTCCTTCATGGCAACTATTCTAAAAGATTTCCGACGTGCATGTTGTTGAAATTTTTCCAAATCACACTCTAGTTGATTCTTAGCATGTCTCAGGTCCACTATTTGTTTTTCTAGCTCGACCATTTTTTGTTGAGATTCCATTATACCCAGTTTCTGTTCGATTTTTTCAGAAATAAGCGTTAAGAATTTATCATCAGTGAGCAATTCTTCAATGGTTTGCTTTATAATTAATTTAACA